ATTGCCCCCCCCCCAAAAATGATCCCCTGTACAAAATTAATTTATTTATATTATGCGTCCGCGTTTGGGTCACATAAATTAACACGTGTACTAAATTTCAACTTAATCGGTTCAGTAGAACCGGAAGCAAATTAACTGACATTCGGACAGACAGACACACGAGTGATCCTATAAAGGTTCCGTTTTTCATTCGGACGCACGGAACTCTAAAAATGAAGAAAAAACAAAAACATATAAGCAACACTGAAAAAGTACGACGTGTTTTAAGAACTGAAGAAAAAGCCATTTTTTAATTTTGCATTACGGTAAAAAAGGTACTAGACCAGGGGTCGGCAACCTATGACCCGTGGGTCACGTAGTGACCCAATAGGTAATTTCAAGTGACCCACTTTAGTTATAAATTTGCAGTATTTTGAATATCTAAGAATTGACAATTTTAATTTAGAAATGATTGATTTTAAAAGTTCAACATTATGGACGGATAAATTCAAGAAATTGTGGAACGATTTGGAAAATACAGAAGATGATTATTTTCTCATGATATCAACATGTTGGCCATCACTTCCTACTAGGTTTTTATCATTAAAAAAAATTGGCTTTGCCGTTTTGTCCACATGCGGGTCCACTTATAAATGTGAGCAAATATTTTCATAAATGAAATTTATTTTAAACAAAAACAGGAGCAGGTTAACTATTGAAAATTCAGATGCTTGTGTTCGACTTAAGACGACTATGAACCAGACTTGACTAAATTGACGTCACAAGTTCAACATCAGGGGAGTCATTGATATCGTAGAGAAAGTTTATCATCATCATCAATTCAACTATGTTTGTAATTATTTTCTTAATAAAATATATCTTATTATTTACTAAAATGCTGTTTTAATATGACGATATCTCTGACCCAAACGTCTCTTTAATACTCGCATTTTGGTTGATTTTGACCCGGGGCCAAAAAAGGTTGCCGACCCCTGGTCTAGTCTAACACATGAAATACATAAGTAGCAGCAAATACCAACTAGATGTAGATGTACACTTCCTGTTCTTGGATACTATATAAACTCGCTCATTAGGACCTTCATCGGTTTAGCCAGTGATTTATGGAAATAAATAAACGTTCTAATAAAAGTAGGAGGTAAATGTAATCAAGTCCTATTCTATCTAAATTTAGTACCTACAAAATTTTACATATAGAAAAAAGAAACATTTACAAAATATCTTGTGATTCTTGCGATGCTTTTTAGAATGGAAAAAGTGGTAGAGCTATTAATATCAAAATTAAAGTGTTTAAAATACATCGACAAAAAGACACAAAAACAGAGTATTGTATTCTCCCAATTAGATTTAAAAAATATTGTTCCTTGACGTTAACGAAAACACAAGGNAAAATGCTGTTTTAATACGAAAATATCTCTGACCCAAACGTCTCTTTAATACTCGCATTTTGGCTAATTTTGACCCGCGGCCAAAAAAGGTTGCCGACCCCTGTACTAGGCAATACATCCTTTAATCGTAAATCACGATGACAATTTCCAATGCTTTTAAATTTTTGGAGTAAAACTTTTTTATCGACGGGAGGGAGGAAATTTACTAGGGTATAAAACCGAAAAGTGTAACGTTAGGATGAGTCATGAGCCACGTGTGACTTCTAGTGGATACATCCAAAAGGAGTCATTTTAACAGGCTTCAGAAGCTAGCCGATATTCGAAAATTTCCGTTTCGACAAATTGTCAGCAGATCGCGCCAACTGTACTGTATTTTTAACAAAACTAAACCAATATTCCACATACGACCGCTGGAAATATAGTACTTTTACCGAGCGGCATGGCCTAGAGGTCTAGACCATTGCTTAGCATTCGGGATGACGCCGGTTCGATTCCGGGTCCGTCTGCCTTGGCCCACGTTTTTCTGTGGTTTCCTTGGATCACTTAGGCAAATGCTGAGGCAGTAATATTCCACAGATAATCTTTCACTCTCTTCTGTCTTCATTCGTCCGTCTCATCTTTCTCACCCGAACCACCACCCACCCATTCTCACGATTCCTGAAAACCCTACCTTCCGGCATAATCCGGAAGGACTGCCCGCCCACCAGCATTACTGGCTGGTGGGAATGAAACACCCAAAAGTTTTTTTTTTTTAGTATTTTTCTGGTGTATAGCAATTAGTTAATGCAATAGTTTAAACCAATTATTTTCAAAAACACTACTATAATATACAATCTAGAAGAGTTTCACTTCTTACGCATGTACACTACTACACGCTCGCCACTCTTTTTTTTTTAATACTATACTTAAAAGCGTCATTAAAAACTTACCAGAAATGCAAACGACTGCGAAGAAGAATAAAATGGTTTTGGACATTTTGTTGCTTAAACGTATTCTCGTATTATGATTGTCTGGAGATATTTTGATGCTTATATACTGAAAATTATTGATCTCTTGTTCCGATAAATACATTGAAAACGTGTAATTACCTATATATTAAGTTTTTTGCTCATCGTTTTTTGTGATCATAAAATTCCTAGAAAATATTTTTGAGTCAAAAAAATCCTCGCGTAATTCTCAAGTTTCTTTTATTTCCACACCCTTTTCAGTCCCCGAAGAAGATAATTTTGAGCCTTTTCTGTGTTATTCATCCCTAAAATTACATTTTCGAGTGGTTTAGAACATTTAAATTTTAAAAATATTGGACGCCATTGTTACAGATAATGGAATTTTATAATTAACAATATCAATAATCTGTAAAGAAGGTTAATTATACTTTGGTTATTAATTGATTATATTGTATGATAAAGTGTAATCCAAGTACCTATTAATTTTTTTTTTATCTTTTTGATTGAATTACTGGGAAACCCTCTATGGCGCACAAACACGTGAAAATATAAGGTGACTATGTAAAGAGAAGGAAATGCACACATATAAAAAATGGGACATTTCAGAGATAAGTCGCTCTTAGGCAGAAGAAGTCAAGGACACCTGAGACGAACGCGATGGAGCGATAATTTGCACGCTCAACAGACATCATCCATGAAGAACAGGCTCAACCTTAAGTGGAAGAAGGAAGAAGAAGAAGAAGAAGAAGAAAATTCCAAACGTTTTCGGCTAATTTGGAATTTTTAAATTTTAAAATTATTAGGTATCGTGATTACAAATAATGGAATTTTATAATTGTCATTATTCAGAAACAGCCGATTATTAGAGTTTATATCCAGGTGGCTATTGCTCCAAAGATTTTGTTGTGTATATATCTCGTTGTGTACTGAAAATTGAGAAAAGATGTTTCGTCCCGAGAGCACACATGGACCCATCAGTAACGCTGACGACGTGCTATCTGCCTTAGACATCTGGAGATCTGTGGGGTGTGTGGCGCGAACTGGCACGGGACAGGCTGGTCGCTGTAGAATTCCCTGCCCACTTTCGACGAGGGCGATGGAGGAGAGACGATACCGAAGATGTTGAGTTGGAGAGCGAGAAGGGCAAAGTTGACAAGCCGTCATGGATCTTCGAATTCTGCCATGCGAATTGTGAGAAGTTTAAGCGAGTTGCGTTTGCGGAATTAGCACTGCTTGCGTGTATCTAGCGTGGAGGATGCAGAGATAGTAGAGAAGCCGCGTTTTTTGTTCGTTGTCGAGGTTGCCAATGTAGATATCACGTTGTCTACTGAAAAGTGAGAAAAGATGTTTCGTCCTGAGAGCACGCCTGAACTCATCCATAAGACTGATGACGTGCTCTGCCTTAGATATCTGGAGACCTGTGGGTTGCGTGGCGTGAACTGGCACGATACAGGCGGGTTGCTAAAGGATTTCCTGCCCAGTTTCGACGAAGGCGTCGGAGGAGAGACGATACCGAAGATGTCGATGCGGAAAGCGAGAAGGGCAAAGTTGAGAAGCCGTCATGGATCTCCGAATTCTTCACGCTTTTCTTTGAGAGACGCGGGAGGTGTTGCCATGGTCGTCGAGTCGTCGAGACGCAATGCGAGATGCGACAAGTTTGAGCGAGTTGCGTTTGTAGGCTTAGCAGCGTTTGCGTGTACCTAGCGTGGAGGATGCGTGGATAGTAGGAAAGCCGCGTTTTTTGTTCGTTGTCGAGGTCACCAATGTAAATATCTCGTTGTCTACTGAAAAGTGAGAAAAGATGTTTCGTTCCGAGATCACATCTGGACTCATCAGTAAGTTTGACGACGTGCTATCTGTCTTAGACATTTGGAGACCTGTGGGTGTGTGGTGCGAACTGGCACGAGACAGGCGGGTTGCTACAAGATTTCCTGCCCAGTTTCGACGAAGGCGACGGAGGAGAGACGTTACCGAAGATGTCGAAGCGGGAAGCGAAAAGGGCGAAGTTCAGAAGCCGTTGTGGATCTCCGAATTCTCCACGCTCTTCTTTGAGAGACACGGGGCATGTTGTCGTGGTCGTCGAGTCGTCGAAACGTCGAGATGCAATGCGAGAAGTTTGAGCGAGTTGCGTTTGTAGGGTTAGCAACGTTTGCGTGTATCCAGCGTGGAGGATGCCGAGATGCAGGAAGCCGCTTTTTTTGTTAGTTGTCGTGGTCACCAATGTAGATATCTCGTTGTCCACTGAAAAGTGAGAAAAGATGTTTCGTCCTGAGAGCACGCCTGGACTCATCAGTAAGGTTGACGACGTGCTCTCTGCCTTAGACATCTCGAGACCTGTAGGGTGTGTGCCGCGAAGTGGCACGAGACAGGCGGGTCGCCACAGTTGTTTCAGGTTATTTGGGTATAAAATTCTGTGAGTTGGACTCGCGCACCGACCACAAACTTGTAGATATGTAAACAGTTGGTCCGACGCCGGAATTGAGTCTCGAAAACTTTTTCCGTTTCCTGATAGGCTTTAAGTTTTCCCCCTAAAATAGTCCCTATAAACGTATAATTTTGTAGCTGCCAATAAAACTAAATAGGGGTCCTAAGTTTTTAAAAAAATTAAAGGAATCCAAATTATTTAAAAACCGTGGGACTGCTATATTTACTACTTCTTATCATTATTATGGGAGACGCAACCAGACGTCTGCGATCGTCGACGGCTATACGCGCTTAGGATGCTCGAAAGAAAAACATTGTTATAAAAAATTTCACAAATCAGTATTATTTATTTATGGTATGATAACACTAAGGTCTTTATCCCATTGATAACCATTTTTGAGATGTCGTACTCATTTAGTTGCAATGGAGAAGATTTTTACCATTTTCTCCCGCTGCATGTTACTATTACTATGATCTTAAGGTTTATCTTATTAAAAGGATAGCTTACGTCATGTGGTAGAATCATAACTACATCTTCTTCTCATTTTGGGGAATGCAGTAACATATGAATTATTTATATTTATTTTAATTAATCAATTAGTAAAAATAGTATATAAAATATAATTTCCACAACTCAATCTTTGATCATCCGCTCAGGGGTTCTGCTGTGATGATAAGCTAATGTTTATTGATATTACATAAATTGCACTTGATACTGATGTTTTACGATTAGATATTTTTATGTGTGCTTTATCTACCGATTTTTTTTTGTAAATATAGGTGCGATATTTTGGTATAATAAGACCACGTGTAGACGACTTACTTTTTATCTCTTCAAATAACACGTTTTCAATTAACTTATAATGGTTTTTTTTATGTTGTAAATTTTTATGTAACGATTACTAAAAGATAGTGAATTTTGTAACATCCAGCGGGAATAAATAATAGGAATCATCTTGCTTTAAATAAGTAGGACTCGGTTATGAAGACATCGGTTAAAACGACAACTCTGACACTATAGTTTACTATAGTCCCATCATTTTACTATTTAAACAAACGCTAAATATCTTGCTAATAGCAACAATAAATTTGGATATAACGCCGCATTTTACTGGTACAAATCTTTGGCTCGTTGACGCCAAAAAATATTGTGCACCAATCGGCACTTTGTTTAGCAATTGTTTTGACGTAAAGTTACGTTCTCATTCCTAAGGTGACAATATTTTTTTATTTCAAATCCGGGACGGGAACTTGTAGCGGGGGGTAGTGAAGTTAAATAACTTAAATATGATTTTTTAATAATTTTTTTAATAAAAATTATACATTACAAATACTATTTAAGGATTTAATAAAAATCAGTATTTTTTTAAAATGACTGAGTACAAAACTTTTTATATTTTTCTGAACTATGGATCTTTTTCAGTAGGTCTTTTTTACTTTGAAGCATTGTAGCATTAATATTGAAAATAAGAACCTTTTCAAAAATTCGGGACAATCCGGGACAAATATTGCTTCTAGAAAAATCCGGGATGCAAGGTGGAAGTCCGGGACTGTCCCGGACAATCCGGGACGTATGGTCAGTTTATCATTCCCGTAGTTTTTACATTGGTGTAGAAGAGATTTTTATTATTATTGTTGATGATGAAATATTTCACCTACTTAATTAACTCATCACGAATTATCTATAAATACCAACAGCTTTACATAGCAACCAGTGGGTTCCCCTCGAGAGTTGCATCTTGGGAAGTAGCATGCGGCAATGAATGTAAAACAACATATATGGAAATAAACAAAGACCTGAATTAAAACAATACAATGCGATAAACAATTTAAACACTTAGGCGCGCCGACGCCCCAGCTGCGATTTCCCAACGCAGTCGAACTCGGTGATGTAGTTGCGTCCGATGGAGTATCCCTGATGAAGATTGTGGACTACCTGAAACAATAGCTGTTTCCCACACCTAGGCCCCAGTTAAATAACCAGGCATTCTATGCATTGGCCGTATGCATAGATCGCTCCCAATGCTTATCATTGCGTTGGCAAGCTAGAGATTTATCTGGACACCCTTGTGCCCAAAAAAAAAAGAAAACTTTTGGGTGTTTCATTCCCACCAGCCAGTATTGCTGGTGGGCGGGCAGTCCTTCCGGATTATACCGGAAGGTAGGGTTTTCAGGAATCGTGGGAATGGGTGGATGGTGGTTCGGGTGAGAATAATGAGACAGGCAAAATGAAGACAGAAGAGAGTGAAAGATTATCTGTGGAATATTACTGCTTCAGCATTTGCCTAAGTGATCCAAGGAAACAACAGAAAAGTTGAACCAAGGCTGACCGACCCGGAATCGAACCGGCGTCCTCCCGAAATGCTAAGCAATGGTCTAGAGAAGAGAGTCTAGTCAAGAGAACTTGTGCCCATATCATTGCACCTTTACCGACATTTAGGTCACTGCTGTATAATGGGTCAGCTTGTTGATTTTAAAAGAATAACTACGCAACAGTCAAAAATAGTTTATTACTTTATAATTAGGTATACATTTGTATTGATCCAAAACATGTCCGAAAACGGTTTAACAAGTCTGAAGTTTAGAATTTACTTGACACCCAACGAGGCATACACTTTATCCACATGAGAATCGTATTTGGCGACATAGAAGTTTCCTGCTATAGGTTTTCCCAATGAATAACAATATGCGAAATCTCTAACAGAAAAATTACCTCGTCCATCAGCTGATCTAGGAATAAAAAGAAATTTATTAACTTTATAAAAATGCTTGAGATGTTATACAGTTATTTTCTCTAAAAGTAAAACAGTCAAAAATTGACTACTCTTTCCAGTAAAATAAAAGTGAAAATTCACTTGTTATGAGAAACGTAGCCTCAGCTATTTTATTGCGTGACTCAAGAGTGGGTCAACCGTCGTAGATTTTAAACTCTGTTATAAGTAATAATAATGTCGATGTATTAATGAACCTAGAAAAGAAAGGTAAATGATGTTTTTCATTGGACGCTGCATGTGTATTTTCTCCACTGGTGCGTTCTTCATCACTCCTCCATCTAGAAGTGAAATTTAAAAAGTAATAAATGAAACCGTTATACAATTTTGTATTAAATAAATATGAACGTTGATATTCTTGGTCGCATATAGTGATGTTTTTGGTCTTGCAGTATTGATCTTGGTCTTGCGAAAAATGCAAGACCAAAACCGAACAAACAAGACCAAGCTTAAAACCAAGACCGAATATGTAAGACCAAAACTATCTACGCAAGACTAATTTTCTCAAAACGGGATCTACAAAAATGTTCTAGGAGTAAGTGTTCTTTGTTTCTATATTTGGATAACACATAGTTGAATTATAGAGACAAACTAAATTTTTTGTAGATTTTTTACGTCATTCAAGTACTTTGTACAATTCTTTCGCTAAAAGGTTAATTTATGCGTTGGAGGAAGAGTAGGTTCTCGAGTTTTCGTGACCTTCAGTTATTTCTCATTATTGTTTTTAAAATTCATGACAAGTTTGCATATATGACAGAAAATTGTAACACTTACAACAATTATTGTATCATTTAACACGCAAGACCAAGATCAAGACCGAGACTATATCAGCAAGACTAAGATCAAGACTAGAAGTATTTGAGCAAGACTAAGACCAAGCCTCAAATAAAACATTCTTGGTCTTGAAGTTGCTTTGGTCATCACTAATTCATCAAAACAATCAAACTCGGATTGCGATCTCCATCGTTTTAGTCTCGATAAATTACTGACCAAACCGAAGATGCTCCTAATGAACAGGTTTATTTAATATCCAAATGGAAGTACCGTATCGGCGTCTGATGAGGATTTGTTGCTACTGAATTGTTTCATCTGTTAGACAAGATCCTTACTCAACTCTCATATATACAAGACATCATCATCATCATCATCATCATCATCATCATAAGGTCGTCAGTCCTAAGACTGGTTGGACGCGTACCTCCACTCTTTCCTATCCTGAGCTAAACTTCGCATTTCCCTAAAACTAGAACAACCCACATCCTCTATCCTGAGCTAAACTTCGCATTTCCCTAAAACTAGAACAACCCACATCCTTAACTATTTGCGAACAGTAATCTAATCTAGGTCTACCTCTACCCCTCCTAACTCCTGTTTCTGCCTCTAATATGTCTCTGACTAGACCTTCATGCCTAAGAAGGTGTCCTACCAACCTGTCTCGCCTATTTTTTATTGACTTCCATAGAGTCCTCTGTTCTCCTATTCTTTTCAGTTCCTCTTCATTTCTAACCTCTTCTATCAGCGATATCCTCATCATCTGCCTATAACACCACATTTCGAACCCTTCTAACCTTTTCTTTTCCGCCGCGCCCACTGTCCATGTTTCGCACCCGTACAATGCCGTGCTCCAAACATATAGGTACCTTTAATAACCTTTTTCGAATTTCTAAATTAACCGTTCGCGAGCATAGAAGTGACTTCTTCTTATTAAAGGCGACACGATCCTGCGCTATCCTCTGCTTTATATCCCTACTACTCCTTCCATCCTGACTTATCTGACTTCCTAGGTATCTAAAATCAGCCACTCCTTCTAATTTTTCGTCTCCTATCTTTATATTCGCTCTTTCCCTACTTTTTCTTTCCTTGCATACCAGTATTTTAGTTTTACTTTTATTTATTTTCATGCAGTACTGATCTGTCAGTACCGCTTCCATTTTATTTAAAGCTATCTCTAGGTCCGCCTTGCTAGATGCTAATACTGCTATATCATCTGCAAATCTAAGCATACTAATCTTTTGCCCGTGCACATCTATCCCTACAGTTGTACTGTCTTTAATGATGTTGATGGCGTCTTCGATGTGTATAGATTAAAAAGTAGCGGTGACAGTGTGCATCCTTGTCTGACTCCCTTCCTAATATTTACTTTTCTACGTTGCATCCCTAGCTCTATCACTGCCTGTTGCTCTTTATACGAGTATACTAAGTATCACTCTTCTATCTTTGTAACTCATCCCTACATTTTTAAGTATATTTGACTTCTTGTGCCATTTAACATTGTCAAGTGCTTTCTCTAAATCTACAAATCCTGTGTACGCACTCTTTCCTTTTTCTATTGTTTTCTCTATTGTTACCTGTAAAGCTAGAATGGCCTCCCGCGTTCCTCTATTTCTACTAAATCCAAATTGATCTTCCCCTAATAGTTCTTCCGCCCTTTTTTCCATCCTCCTCTGTACAATTCTAGTTAAGATTTTTGACACATGGGAAGTTAAGCTAATTGTTCGAAATGTCTCGCACCTATCCGCGTCCCTCTTCTTAGTTAATGTTACTACTACGTTCCGTTTATAATCCTCTGGGACTTTCCCTGTTTCGTAAATGTGACTAACTAGCTTAAACATACGATCTCTAACCTCTTGTTCTGTATGTTTCAGAATTTCCCCCTGTATCCCATCTACACCTGGCACCTTATTATTCTTTAAATTTTTTAATGTTACATCGAACTCTTCTCTCATTATGGGATAACCAAGCTCATCTATTTCTACACTATCTTTCCTTCTCTAATATATCTCCTAACTCAGTGCTTGCGTATAGGTTCTCTAAATATTCTGTACACATATCTGCCTTTTCCTCATTTCTTATCAACATGACACCTGCCTCGTTACAAGACATTTAAATCAATTAATAGGAATCTTCAAATTTATCAAAAATACCAGACACGAATCGCGCTTTCGACGTTTTTTAGGTCTCATCAGAATGCCACAGGTGGTCTCGATAGATTACTGATCAAATCAAAGAAGTTTCCAAAGAGCAAGTTTATTTAATTTCCAAGCAGACGTATGAAATACTTCAGTAGTAGAAAGAGGAGACTGTCGTAAATATTAATTAAAAACTAAAAGGAAGACTCACCCCTAATTACCACAAAAAAACTTTATTTGAGCGGACACGTGTTTCGCCCACTTCATACGTGGGCGTTTATGATGATTTCTTTTATTTATGTTTATTAGTGATTTATTTTGTTCGATTGCATGAGGCCATAAGATTACGGTAGAAAAGGACAACTTTAGGAGTTGAAAGTTATAAGTGTCGTTTTACAAAAGCACATATTATTGCGCTTATATTTAAGGACAGCTACTTACGTATTGGTCAATTTCTCAACATCGCTAAAAGAATACTTCATCGGTTGCATATATACTAGAAAAATGTAACGATGAAATCCTAAAAAGAAAACTTACGTTATGATTGGCAATAAAGATTATCTGCTATATAATAAACAATAGATTGTAATTTTCGAAGCAATTACTGGTTTAGTCTGGATGAAGTTGATAATTATGTTAACGAGTTTCAGTAGATTCGACGCAGAACAGTTGTGTTCTTTTACTACTACGTATTTTATAAAAAGCGGATACTTGATATTGAATAAGGGAATGGAATTTTCACCTGTATCTTTTGGAGGGGCCGAGGGAATAAACTGGTATAATGTTAGGCCTCTACTTATGTCTCTGCCAGGGATGTTTCCAACCATCCAATGATTCCATTCCCGAAATTTTGGATTACTGCGACAAGGAGCGTCAGGATCTTTAAGAATATATTAATCAGTACCACAATATTAAGAAACGACCTAATAAATAAGCTGTAAACTTGTATAAACGAACATCTGGTTATCTATTATTGCTTTCAAGTACGTTTATGTTTTTGTTAGGTTTTAATGGTCGTTCTTGAGTTTGAGAGTTTGACACAATACTTACCAACCATAAATAAGAAATAATAACAATCTTCATCAGCTTTGTAAATAACGGATGGCTTGTCTTTTACTTCTGTTGGGGTCAACGCATTCCCTGCGATAGCGAATTTACCACTAGGAAAACACACCTAAACGAACCAAATTTTAACCATTAGAATTCAATATAAAAAGTGTCACTGAATTTAGTAATCAGTAAATATCTAACTTAAAGTAACGTTTGCTATACTTAAATTTAATGTATTCATAAATTAATTTTTTTCAATTAACTTTACCCCTTACAGATAACGTGAAATTAATGGGAATCAAACGCAGGCCCCTAGTTTTCCGCATTAGTACTATACCATCAAGCTACGAGGAGGCGACAGTAGAATTTTACTATCAACTACAGTATTTTTTCTTGTTTTCCAATGTAGTTGCTCAAAGGTTTTCAAATCAAAAATATATTAAAAACGCTATGTATACAGTTGGGGTGAGTTGGCAAGTTACTACAACTTCAGAAGTAAACGAGATAACACAATACAAAAATGTATTCGTCATTAAAACAGTGACATGAATAAAACTGTTATATTAATATATCAAGAAAATAAACGTATTGTCGAAAAAAAAAATAATAATAAATCTATTCTATTGGTACAGCCATTACGGATGAGACGGTTCACTAGAAAAGCCAGACATTTAATGATTTTTGCGTCATAAAACCATTCAACAGAAGCCACAAAAATTGACATACTTTCAGCAGCTCTACATGTACCTAACCATGTAATTGAAGGCACTGTACCCAGTAAGGAGATCACTAGATTCCTGTAAAGTAAAACCTGAATTGTCGTCATCCGTTGTTGACTTATTTGTACTCGCTTTCTTCACTACCTTTCCCATTTTCTTCTTGGGTTTAATCTTCGTCATTGGGTTCATAGCCTTCTGTCTTGTTTTCGCCTGTTTTGATTTTTTGACACCTTTTGTTTTTTCAATGCACTCCGATGATGATAAAACGGCTGCCACCTGCTTCGCTCGCTTCCTAACATTTTCAAAACCTGGAAGATGTTCCGGGTACGGGATTAAGTTTGACTAACATGATTCCTGGGATAATATTTCCATGAAATGCTTCATGGACTGTACTCGTATCTTCCCGAATCTAGCCTGCTAGTTGCTGAATGGCTCTCTCTTCCTAACCGAGCGGCATGGCCTAGAGGTTTAGACCATTGCTTAGCATTCGGGAGGATGCCGGTCCGATTCCGGGTCCGCCTGCCTTGGTCCAAGTTTTTCTGTGGTTTCTTTGGATCACCTAGGCAAATGCTGAGGCAGTAATATACCACAGATAATCTTTCATTCTCTTATGTCGTCATTTCGTCCGTCTCATCTTTCTCACCCGAACCACCACCCACCCATTCCCACGATTCCTGAAAGCAGGCTGAAGAGGGCCTTCCGCTCTACCTTCCGGCGTAGTTCGGAGGGACTGCCCGCCCACCAGCATTACTGGCTGGTGGGAATGAAACACCCACACTTTTCCTAGACGGATGATAACGTAGCATACTTTTCTGTTCTACGAGACAGATGGTACACGAACCATCTCTCTCGCAAAGTTACTGTGCCATCTCTCCCAATTTTACAGGAGAGTTGTCACAGGTAATTTTTGCTAAATACGACACAAGTCTGATAACTCCGCCAATCTGATTATAACCTTAACAGTTCCCACGACCACCTTGATCTTAAAACACCTACGAAAATTGCAAATTAATATGAAATATTTTAAATTGTTCACATGGCTCAGTTCATTGTTAAGTCCTCTTAAATTTATTTTTGTGCATAACTTACCCTTTATATGCTTTAACGCCAAAATCTTTAGCCTATGATGCAACACGTGTACACTACTGTTGTTTAACTGCAATGTTGCCGAGCTCAACTATTGTCGCAAAAACTGAAATGTTTCAACTCATCCAGTGCACTATCTCTCCCGGAATTACCCTAGGTAAATCTATCTTTTTATAATCTTAAAACACAAACGTCAACATATTTCTTTATTCATTACTATTAGCAATACTAATACCAGCGTATAGACACCCCCTCCGATTTATATTTTAATGCAAAGTCAGAGGGTAAGGCGGTGAGCCGACGTGCGAAACAAGGATTGTGGGGGCAGCGGAAAAGTAAATGTTAGAGGCATTCGAAATGTGCTGTTACCGGCGAATGATGAGGATACTGTGGATAGAGACCTAACCGGAGAGGTATGAAGAGGTATTAGAAAGAATAGGAGAACAGAGGACTCTATGGAAGTTAATAAAGAATAGGCGAGATAGGTTTATAGAACACCTTTTCTTGTCAGAGACATATTAGAGGAACAGGAGTTACGAAGAATAGAGGCAGACCTAGATTAGATTACTGTTCGCAAATAGCTAAGGACACAACCCACAAGTTGTTCTAGTTTCAGGGAGATGCGAAGATAGTTTAGGATAGAAAGGAGTGGACGTGCGTGTCCAACCAGTCTTAGGACTGACAACCAGATGATGATAATGATTTTTATAATTTCTGATTCCGCATTTTTAAAACTAACTTAACTACTCTATATGGAATATTCTCAATACTACTTTACTCTTGCAAATGCTCTTGGAACATCGCATATCACATCCGGTATGATGCAATATTTTATAAATGCCTCCTCAACCGTCATTGGCTTCGGTCTTTCCTTACAAGAAGTCTTTTCTGGACATACATAAACATCACTGTGAAGCCGTATGATACTTCGCAACGGAGTTTTCAGTTTTCTTAAATTACGAAACATTTTATGGATGTATGTAGGTAGCTTATCACTCGAGAATTTCTAAATATTTTTTTGTTGAATTTGTAAAATTACATAAATGTCAGTTAAACAATTTAACTTGTCATTTGACAGAGTTGTAGCTATATTTGTGGGTACTTGATTAATCATATATTAATGCCGCGCGGAGTGTCTTAAACTCATGTCTTGATACCATTTAAAAATAAAAAGGAGCATGCTGATAAGGACATTTGGCTCAGGCTATGATTTACAATAAGTATGATTTTAAAGGTGAACTGGGTACATGTAAACATGTATAGCAAAGTCGACTATTCGGCCACTTTCGTAATCGGCGACTATTCGGTAAAGCTCGCCGATTATCCGGCATCTTATACTTCATTTAATTTCTCTAGCGATATGCCCCTTCCAATGTCTTGGATGCGCACTGGCAAATTCGTAGGTAGGGAGAAAAAAGCTCAAAATACTCTCGACTATTGTTCACCGACATATGCTTTTTCCTACAGTATCTGTCAAAAGTTTTGTTCAATCATGAATAGTAGTGCGAGTCGAAAACAAGCGTTAAAGCCTTTAATATGTCTTCAAATATAAATAAACATCTCGTTGATATTTTCAGCAGTAAATGGTACCAATAACAGCACATTTGAGTAATACAATTGTAGTGGATAAAATGGTCAATTTTTCCGTGCAGTACTGTACGGATTATACGCTCCTCACCGGTTAAGAGTTTGGCCGAGAGTTGTCTCCTTCCTTTTCTGGCCCAGTGCTGTTCTTTTCTACTTTGCGCCAGTTAAACTGAAGGTCACATCGCTACAGAAAGTAAACGAAGTATACTTTGTGTGTAGTTCTCAATACAATGTATGCATGAGGAATTAAACAAATTAAAAACTTTGATTGCTAATTAACATTATTATTTTCAAATCAGTCTTACACATATCGTCTTATCTTCATCAATAAACATTGACAAATATATTCTTCTTATTTAAATAAAAGAGTAGGAATTTGTGTTATTAACAGACTTGCATTTGCGACTGGAAGGAATAGCCTGTGATCGAGCATTTGATCATAGAACCTAACTGAGGTATTAAGGTTGGGTGTCTGTATTTGATATTGTTGTTTATACTTGTAGTATTTGCTGTTTTACCCTGCCGACCACGAGAATAATTATTTGGCACTGCTTACACTTGACTTTACAAGAATCATTGTCCAATTGGTAAAAACAAGTCCATACGCGAAACTGTCTTTTTGACATGATTAAATTTTAATTGAGCTCTATCACTTTAATGAATAAGATCACTATTATTTTTTTACTTTTACTTCGCTCAAATAAGCTGTAAACGAAGCATCATAGATATTGCCGAATATCCCTGAAAGAGTGATTGGATTGGCCGACTAATCGGCCGATTAGTTGACCTCTTCAGAACCAACTAATCTGCAGGTCGGCAAAGTTTAGTATAATATTTATCCAACGCAATGGAACTAATGAGTCAGCTAGTTGATTCTAAAAGAATACCACGCAACAGTCAAAAATAGTTTATTACTTTATAGTTAGGTATACATTTGTATTTATCCAAAACATGTCAAAAAACGGCTTAACAAGTTTGAAGTTTAGAATTTACTTGAGACCCAACGAGGCATACACTTTATCCACATGAGAATCGTATTTGGCGACATAGAAGTTTCCTGCTATAGGTTTTCCCAATGAATAACAATATGCGAAATTTCTAACAGAAAAATTACCTCGTCCATAAGATGATCTAAGGATAACAAAAATTTTATTAACTTTATAAAAATGATTGGGCTGATACACAATTATTTTCTCTAAAAGTAAAACAGTGAACAACTGACTATTGTTTCCAGTAAAATAATAGTGAAAATTCACTTGTTATTAGAAACGTAGGCCCAGCTATTTTATTGCGTTGCTCAAGAGTAGATCAACCGTCGTACATTTTAAACTCGGTAATCAGTAATATTCATTTGATATCATTTTTTCGATTTTTTATTTACGCACTACAAACTACCTCAAATTAATGAGGGAAAACTTGTTGCTGTTCGGGAATCGAACCCGGCACCGGGAGTTAATAAAAATCGACGGATCGTAACCTTGTAGGTCGATTAGTCGTGGTTGCTGTTATCACCTCTCGTAGTTTAGTGGTCAGAACATTGGTGCGTCGAGCCAAAGGTCCCGGGTTCGATTCCCGGCGGGGGTGTGACAACAACAACAATTTTTCCCTCATTAATTCGAGGTAATTTGTAGTGGGTAAATAAAAAATTGAACAAATGATTTCAAATTAATATTGCATACTAATCCACTATTAAGTAACTAACAATGTCATAGGTAATAAGTAATATCGTAATATCGATGTATTAATGGACACCAAGGAACGATCGGAGGCTGAATGTTTATTTTTTCCATTGGTGCGTTCGTCATCACCCCTCCATCGGGATATGAAATTTAAAAATCATAAATAAAACCGTTACACAATTTTGTTTTAAATAAATAAGAACGTTTATGTTCTTGGTTAGATATAGTGATGACTTTGGACTATAGTATTGATCTTGGTCTTGCGAAAAATACGAGATCAAGACCGAATATGTATGACCAAAACTATTTACGCAAGACTAAACGAAAAATGATTACTTCCGGTGAGTTAAACTATTTAAAGCAAC